CATTTCGTTTAAAGAGATTAATGCAAGGGATTCGTAAGTTGGTTCCACTAATAGCTGTGGGAGGTTGCCTTTGAGCTGTGGTTATAGATTTGTAAGTATAGGTCCTCAGCGCACCGACCTGCGACCCCGATGGATCCTTGGATCAGAGCAGGATACCATGGTTAAGGATAATTCACCAAAAACGCAAAGGTGAGAAAGGTGGCCGGCTTCAAATCTACTTCCTTCTCATATTCCAATTTGGTCCACTTATGCATCTCAAGTTTTGGTTGGATATCCTATGCTTTGTCTTTATATTTGCTCATAGGTTGAGCTAAGTGGCTACAGATTAAGTGTGAAATGGGTGCAATTGAAACCGAACAGCTGCATCCTCCCCTAAAGCACGCCATGCGATTGCGTCCCAATGCACACATGTTGTGTGAGTGCAATGCTCATGATATGAGTGTGATATGAGAGTTTAAACCAAATTCCAGCCTAATCAAGCCTCCTCCTCTTGCTCGGAGGTACTTATCGCCCCCCTTCTCTCTCTAAACCTACCCAACAGAAACAAGTAGTTTCCGCTAAACTTCCTACACTTATTCAGTTTATTCAGCGTTGGCTGTTTTGTTGATTTCTATCTCCTCCCTAATGTTTCGCTTACTGGTATAGTCTCCATATCTAGCTAAGCGTTTGGCATTAGACCAATCCATTTGGTGTCCTGTTTTAGCCATGTGTTTGACCAATTCTGATTTTTGACCCACATACCCTTGCTGGATGTTTTTTGTCCGGATTCTATAGCTAAACCTCGTGTTTGTTCATACAGTTTACCATTAAAGGTAAAATATGTACAGTACATCGCTTGGTTGGTCAGTATTATTATTGATCCTTTACTTAACTTCGTGCTTATTAAAATCTCTGCATGTTGGTCTAGGATGGATTGTAGGGCCTGTATAGCATCACCTACATGGATGCCAGTGTACATAGACTCAACATCAAAACTTACCGGCAAATCCCCACTTTCTATCTCCTGCTCATCAACTAAGTTAACGAATTCAGAGGAATTCTTGACTGAAACTTTCCACGTCCCGAAGATTTGCTCTAACTGGTTACAAATAAATCGTGATGTTTTATGCATAACGCTTCCCTTATTATTCACAATAATTCTAAGTGGAACTCCATCTTTATTTATTTTGGGCAGACCATATGCACTCGGAGGCCTACCATCTCGTTGAAGAAGCGTGTTCATCTTCCACTTCTCCAGTTACCCGTTTGCTACACAATGCTGCAGGCAACCCATGAAGCTAGACTTAAGGGTTTCCGTAGGGTCCCTACTGATTACCTTGTATATAGTAGTGTCATCCAAAGCCTGCATCATTTTTTCTACATAAATCAACGTACCCATAATTACCACTGCTCCTCCTTTGTTTGACCTCAACACCATTTGGTCCTCATCGTCCAGTTTCCTTATGATGTTTAGCACTCTCTTGTTCATGCATGTTATTTCTACATGGCTATCAATTAAAGGAGCGACCTGTAATTCAATATCACTCCTAGTCTCTTCTGAAAGATGGTCGGTAAAACGTATGAGTTCCCCCATAATCTCCTCCTTATTATCCTTACTATTTGGAAAAGCTAATTGGAATATAAGAACGAAGTAGGTTTTAAACCAGCCACCTTACCTGCCTTCATGTTTTTGGTGAATAATCGTTAATTGTGGTGTACTGCTTTGACAATTTCCGTTACATGACCGACAAAAGCTCTGCAAGGATTCATCTGGGTCGCAGGGCGGTGCGCCGAGGACCTATTTGCACAAATCTAGAACCACAGCTCCAAGACAACCCCTTCACAGACTCCGGTGGAGCCAACTTACGAATCCCTTCCACTCGTCTCTTCAAACGAAATGAAAGATGCTCCAACATTGTTCAGAACCTCTTTTTCGGTACATTTTGGCAATATTTCAAGTTAAATAATAATTTGCAACAGCATTTATTGGATTGCATCATTCTAAAATAATTATCCTGCCTTTTTTGGATTCAAAAGCATTCGAAAGCAGGATAAACTCACAGTCTATGAAAGAGCCAGACTCCTCCTGCATACTGAACGAAAGCCCGTCAGTCATCTGAGTGAGCGTGCTTCCCCATGAGGTACGCCTTTCAGCCGACGCGGCTCGCAGCCTTACTGGCTTGGGAACTCGACATCGCTGTACCGCTGTATTCCACACGCAATAGGGCTGACCCAATTGTAAGCATTTCTCCCGCTGTCCCTCACCACGGTTGTTCTTATCGTTGACACTAGCCTCCTGCAAATACCTAGACCCTACCAAACCACCCGTCCTAGCCTCCGAGTCATGGATCGACGGCCAGCTGGAGGAAGAGCTATGACTGATAAGCTCTTGGCAAGTGTATGGCAGGGTGGGAAGACGCAAAACCTGCCGGCTTGTGAGTAAATAGTAGTGATTGGCCTATCAATTGGAAGAGGGAAATGAAATTGATATCAGAATTAAGTATATAAATATTACCATTAATAACTAGTGCATAGGTAAAATAGAAATAATATTATACCTATGGTCAGCTTAGGTCGATTTAGGTAAAGGGAGCTCCAAAAATTAAATTTTTTACATGATATTCCTATACTCTATTAAGGCGCTGTCACTTGATGATCCCGACCAAATCACGAGACTAGTTTAGGGTGAGTATGAGCATCTAGGCGGTCCATATTGGATGAGAAAGGTTTTTTGGAGGATAGACTTAATCAAATCCAAGAGGAATGCTGAGAACTTCAACTCCTTTCTTTGGGGCAAATGCAAGTGTCAGGCCTTCTATCTTCTAAATTGACCCGAAGAACCATAATTACCTTAAATTTATTTTAAATAGGTTTCGGTGCAAGCAAATGTTGATTTCTGCTAAGGATGCTGACGAGACCTAGGCAAGGTGGAAGCTGAATTGGAATATATTTAGGAAGGCAAGACCAAGTGAAATGTTTGGCACCGTGCAACCTTCTGAAGCCATTGTAATAAAATTCAACTATCATCCATCACTTAATGCGGCTTAGAGAGGTCTATTGGAGATATCAAAGCCTATCCAAAATTAATATAAGTAACGCTGCCAATTGAAATGGCAAATTGGATTTTGCTTTATCAATATTCCAATTATATTTGTCATATGGGAGATTCTGACAATTAAATATGCATTGCGAACCCCCTACAACCGTAGCATTTTATAAGGTTTGTTCACCCAATTTCATTTAAGGTTATGAAGGACTGGTAGTTGAATTTTACCGCAACGTTATGAGTAGAGCTGACGTCTCCATTTAACTTCACATAGCCTTGCTTTCCCAAAAGGTGTTCTCATCCAGGGTGAACTGTAGTTTGGACCTCGCATAGGTCTTAATAACATCCCCAGCGGGAGTCGAACCGTGACAGTGCAGAATGTCAGCTTGACATGTTAACCACTCGGCCACATTGCCACGAGTGCCCTTTGGTAACAGGGCAGATGTGAATTTCAATAAGGCCAGGCCTTTTCCTATATCACATTCTTTGGTAGGATTCTCGATGAAACAAACAAATTTTTGCTATAAAAATCGACTACATTACTTATTTTTGGTATAAGCAGAGTTTTG